TCTCTCTCTCTCTCTCTATCTCTCTCTCGGCTTCTCTGGATCGGACGAACCCGCAGGAGTTGCGGGTTGTTGGAGTCGGACGGGGGAGGCGAGGTGTGGAGATGACGGGATTTTGTCGGAGAGGAAGGATGAGAGGTCGGTCGGGATAGAGCAGGAGCGAATTTTGCGTCCAGAAGCTCGTGTGAAGTTGGATCGGAAGTGGCGACGGGAGCTTGTGTGTAACGAACGGAGAAGAGCAGCCAATGTTGTTCTCTTGGTTGGCTTTTAAAGGCGTCAAAATTCAGCGATCGAGGCTCTGCGAACAGGAATCCCGGAACGGCGCCTAATGCACAGTGATTCAACGAGATTTCGGGTAGATTTTACGGGATTCATTCGACGAGACGAGGTATCTGAGCAGGATATACGGGACTTTGACAGAGCCAACAGTGATACGAGGTTTCCGGGATTTTTGGCGGGATTCGCGTGAGCTACTCGACAGATTTTGTGGATCCGTGTGTAAGGTATTTTTTAGTCGTTGTTTTCTTTGGTTCCCTTTGAGTATCATTCAGAGGTCAACATGCTAGCAGTGGAAAAGTTCCTTTTATTATAAAACCAAACCACTGCTACTATACACTAATCATTTAGTGTCTATTTAACTACTAACTTTAATTAAAATCTTTCTCTTATCATTGGAGAGAATTAATCTTAGGGGTTTATTCCTATGAAAATTTTGGAACTGTATCGTTAAGTCATCACAAAATGAGGGTAAAATTATCGGATAGTGTCTTATTTGCAATCAAGCCAATAACTTGAAATTCACAAATAAGCTGTCTTCTTGTACAAATATGAGGCTTGTTTTTATGGTGACTTGTTTCTCTTTCGTCTTCCCTCTCTCATCATTTTTTATTACTGATTGAAAGTGAGAGTGAGTTTTGCTATATTTGCTATGCTTTGGATTTTTTATATGACGTGAGATTCTTGATATCATGCATGTTTTTGTAACATTGAATATTCGAGCTGTTAATTTCTTGTAGAAGGCCATAATCTTTTGTCGTAATTGGATTTTATTGTTTTTCTATTTTCATTGATTATTATTATGAATGAATTGTTTTAAGATTAGTAGCTTTTGTATCATGAAATTTGTATGTTTGTTGCATTCTTTCCTGCAATGGAGAAAAAGGATTCATGTAGCCGACCCCACGTAGTGGGATAAAGGCTTGATGATGTTGTTGTTGTTGCATTCTTTCCTGCAATGCAGGTTAAATCTGTATTAGAAACACTTGGACTCTGAAGCATCTTATGTCATAAATCTAGTCACAATTTTAGTAAGAAGCTAGAAAAAGGAAGAAAAAAAGACGCTTCACAACTCGCTGGCCACATGTTACATCACAAATCCGTTGTCATGGGTTGTCTTTATTATTATTATGTTTTCTCTTTTGTGAAATTTTCTCAGAAAGCCAGATCGATAGTTTTTGCAAATGTAACCAGAATTTTTTTACTTTATGTGCCAATTATATAAACAGAATTTGCCCATGTTTAATTTTGTCAAGCAAAATTCTTTTCCAGATACAAGGGAGTTGCAGAAAGTGCCATTCATCCCTGTTGCAAATGGGACTCGCTTTGTTACAGTGACATCTTTGTTTGTTCGTCTAACAACTAACCTTTCACCATTTGCATTTGAGCTTCCCAGTATGTATTTACCATTTGTGAAGATTTTGAAGGAAATTGGGATACATGAAGTTCTTACAGTTGACCATGCGAGAGACCTTATCATGAACATCCAAAATTCCTGTGGATATCAACGCCTTAATCCAAACGAACTTCGTGCCATTATGGAAATATTGAATTTCATTTGCAGCAGCGCTATCAAATCAAGTTCTGATAGATCTGAGAATGTATTTGATCATATAGTACCAGATGATGGCTGCAGGCTTGTATCAGCGAACTCCTGTGTATATGTGGATTCTTATGCTTCACAGTTTCTTGCTGAAATAGATGCTTCTAGGATTAGATTTTGTCACCCAGAGCTTCCCGAAAATATATGCGTGACTTTAGGCATCAAAAAGGTTTCTGATGTTGTCATTGAGGTATGCTGCATTAGCTGTTTTATCTTGCTCATTTATGTTTCATGCAAATTTTGACATTGTGGCTCTTTCGCAAGTGTTTTGTTTGATAAATTGAATTTTTTTCTCAGGAACTAGATGAACCCCAATTGCAACTTGTGGATCAGATTGGTTCTGTTCCATTGAGCAAGATAAAGAATAAGCTTTTAAGCAAACAACTTCAGCATGCACTCTGGAAATTAATTGATGGTATGAAATACCACTCTTCATCATTTGAAGTGATGAATTTGGAACACTTGGAAAGGTCGCTAAGTCAGGTGGCATATAAATTGCAGTTTGTTAAATTACTTCATACTCGTTTTCTTCTACTTCCAAATAATGTGGATATTACACGCATACCAAAGGATTTTGGTATACCTGAATGGAATTTGAGTCCCAGGCATCGTACTGTACATTTTGTGGATAAATCAAGGAACAAAATTTTAGTCGCAGAACCTCCAAGCTACATATCCATATATGATGTTGTTGCCACAGTCGTAAGTCAGATTTTAAAGGCACCATCCATATTACCAATTGGGCCGCTCCTTGCTTGCCCAGATGGTTCTGAGAAAGCATTTCTGATTGCATTGAAACTAGGATCTGAAATTGGAATCATTAGAGAAGGTAAAACCAATATACTTGCAGGGAAGGAACTGGTTCCTCAGGATGCTCTTCAGGTGCAGCTCCTGCCCATGAGACCTTTTTATAGAGGCGAGATAGTTGCATGGAAACATGGTAAAGAAGGGGACAAACTAAGATATGGTGTTGTTTCAGAAGATGTGAGGCCAACTTCTGGTCAAGCAATTCACAAGATACCTTTGGAAATATTTCCTGGAGTGCTTCAAGCACTTCTATCAACTCAAGTTTTCTCTTTCAAAAATGTTTCTATGGGAGATGTTACTTATATGTCATCGTTGCCAGAAAGCAGTCAGGTCACCTCCAAAAATGTGCTGCTCAATGTTCAGGAAAATAAAGATTCTGAAAATGGCAAAGTAGAGCAACAGGTTAGAATGGCTGATTAAATGGAATCTTACTTTTTATTTTAGCTAATATTTTAAAATCTAATGAGGCAACTTCTGTGGTAGACTGGAAGAGAACTGCGGTATGGTAAAGTATCTGCAGAAGAGACAGTTCGAGCTGTCCATGACATGCTCTTAACTGCTGGAATCAACATGGATACTGAGCAGCAGACACTCCTACGGACGACTCTTGCCCTTCAAGAACAGATCAAAGAGTTTCAGGTGGCCCTGTTAGTTGAGCAGGTTTGTTAATGACTTGCTTCCCTTTAACTATTTCTAACACGCAACTTTATAGCGCAGGACTTCTTGCAATGCCTTTAGAATTTGTTTTGCTGGCATACTCAGAAGACAAAATTTTTAAAAATTAAGATGAATCAAGGATTACTTTTCTCTCTGTTGGAGTTAAATGATAGTTACATGTCCTCCATTCTGTTTGGCAATGTTGAATGGGTTTTAATATGAGCCAGAAAATAAATTACAAAAAATCAATAGGCCCATCATTAGAATGTTTAGATGGATGTGTGCTAAAACTAAAAAGGATAGAATGTGAAATTATCATGTTTGAAATCTTTTAAGAGTAAAATCTAGTGAAGTTAAATAGTAAGTAATAAAATTATGTGGTTTGGACAAATACAATAAATGTAAAATATGCATCAATAAGAGTAGAATTAATGTGATAAGAATAGAAGGAAAAGTTCGTAAAAAAAGGGGCACCAAAAGTTGTATTGTAAGGTGAAATAGCATGTGAAGATTGGTATGGCTTGTGACCCCCAACTATAATAAGTGAACAATCATTATGAATAAGGCCGATGATGATGATGGCTTGTTACATTTGGAGGGACATATTGTGAGCATTAACACGAGCATACCAATATTCTAAGTTGTAATATCTACTTTAGCTGTTTAAGTTCATATTTTTATTTTCTAGTTTATTTTGATGTAATCATGTCAATGTTGATTGCACCTATAAGAAATGGAATGTATTATCTTATATTTTGATTACTTTGATGGTTTTAATTACTGCTATAAGTATTTTGTTTCAACTATCATTGGATTATCTACTCAACACTTCTAATCCCTGTTGACCTCTGTTATACAGCCAAAAGAAACACACAAAAAAAAAAGTTTAAAATGAAAATATATGTTATAATCCGTTGAGTCCTCCGCGAATCCAGCAAGAAATCTCTCAAAGACCTATAGCTCGGTGTCATTCGCATCGCTTCTCCGCAATATATGCGCAAAACTTGCCTTGATTGCTACTCTTCGACTTCTTTAAAAGCAAGCCTCTTCTTCTCTGACTCTGCTTCCACCCTCAACTCCAACACACGAAATCTACAAGCCCTCCGACTTCTCCCCATTCGCATGCTTCATGCTCTCCGATCTCCACATGACCGCAAGCCTTAACCTTCAAATCCATTCGATGCTTACGATCTCCAAAGCTGACACCTCATTCCTGCATACAAGCCCTAAAGGGGAAAATGGAACTTAGAGATTGCAAATCGGAGAAAACTCTTTGAACATTTGATGTTAAAAAATGGAGGATTATCTATCAAATTTGTGTTGGACAAATACGAGAATATGACACTTAGATTTATACTACGCATCATGAGAGTTTTTTGGGCTTTTAGGTGTCCAAAGAAAATATTTCATTCATCTAACTTGGGTTAGGAGAATGGGAAAGAAATCAGATTAATATTCCTATATTCGATATAGGAATATGAGTTATTTTTACCCAATAAAAGAATTTTGTTGGATGCAAACTCTTCCATAGCTTTGAGGTTAAGGGACGAGATTTTTGTGGGCTCCGAAAATTCGGCCCCGGCCTCCTTGCCGCGCATACTGATTGCATTTATTTAGGCGAGAGGAGTTTTAACGGAATAAGTTCCAGGGTAAATTTATGAAGGCATATGGGTTTGTAGATAAGACACTACCCAGAGATTTCGCCCTCATTTTGCGAAGACTTTATGATCTGAGTTCTGGTTTCCTATAGGCGCAAGCCCCTATAGTTAATTATCCCTCTCGATAACGAGAGAGAACTTTCGATTAAGGCTAGTCGTCGATCAGATACGTATAAATACGTGTTATCTGGCATATAGTAGCAGCATGAGTTTAGATTTGGGAATTAAAGGTTTTATATTTAAATTAGAAATATCACCATTTAGCACTTAAAGCAGATGATGGGGGGGATAGATGATGGACCCGATCAAGATCCCATGGTTTCATCGTCTCAAGCCATCGTGGTCCCTAGTCTACTTAGTCAGAGGAGGTAGTCGACCCAACCTGACAGAAGGATCCTTGTCGGCAGTCATAGGTTGCTTCGTCCAAGGGGACCTTATAGACCCTGGGGTGAATGTTTGTCTAAGGGGATAAATTTGAATCCACCTTAGCTAACAGAGGGCTTTGTGCCCTATCGATTATATCCTATTGACTCATATCTCAAGAATTTGATGCCATTAAGGAGCGTATTGGCTCTGGCCATAACCGGTATCTGTGGTGCTATTTGGCGGCAAAACCACTCGGTTCAGAGGGCCCCGGGTCATAACCGTTTACCTGCAGTGCCATTTGGCGGCAAAACTGCCGATTAGAGGACACGTACCACATCCTTACTGGTAGGAGATTGTTTGATAATTGATCCTAGTGATATTTTCGACTAGGCATTTGGCTCTTTGTGATTTGAAGTAGTATTTGAATTTGTCCATCCCGGCAAACTGTTGCAGAGGGTGGATGGATTTTGCTTTATGTGTTTGATGGATTGATTTTTATTTTAAATATTTTTGGAATTTTGAATGATTTTGGATTTCTTGGATTTTTTGGTATTTGGATGGAATTTTGAGTGTTTGGAATGGACCCCTCCGGTTGAGATTTTCATTCAACGCGGCCATCATCAGGGTGTTTGGGGCATTTCCATTTTATGAATTGAACCTTGTCAACTCTGTCTACTGGTCGACAAAGGATCAGATTTCGTGGGTTTATGCATTTATTAGTGAATTCTCTTGATTATAGGCCTTGAAGGCTAATATGAATGTATTAAAACAAATACACTGGTCGCCACAACCGTGTATTTGTTTGAAGGTTCGAATCTTGTCGACTCCTATTGATCCGTATAGAATGATCGGGTTCGAACTAGAATTCACTTATCGACCCGCACAGCATTCCTAGACGTCACGTGTGTACCGATAACACGCTCGCCGGGGCCCGTGTTGGTTCTTGATTGTATTTACCCCTTGGTGTACCCATGTGCATATAAATTACGGTGCATGTGCAGGGGTATTTTGAAATATTTGTAAACGTCTTCTGTCCGTTTGCAAGAACGTTGCGGATTCGGTGGCGTTGCGTGAATGTCACGAGGCATCCCATTATCTTGGTGTTGGTTCCCCTTTTCTTATTCACCGGGGAGGTCTTCTTCTTGAAGTTCATGGCCATTGCTTTAAAATGGACTCTTTTCAAGCTCTTTAGCATAGTAGACTTGTTACTTCCGGTGTTTGTGGACACCAGAACTATTTTTCTTCTTAAATATAGGACTAAGAAGAAGCATTGGAACACCAGGAAGTTTAGTTCTGATTTGTTCAAATTTCCTTTTCGATTCGGCCAGGGGGTGTACTTTTTCATATCTCGGGTTGCCCTTGTACTCGAAATACTTGAAGATTTTAATCACCACTGTCATAGGTGATACTTGTACTTGTGTCTACAGTGGTTCGTTGTGCTTACGATGTACCCACTGTTGTTATCCACAAATATTCATTTGCAGAGGACCACTGTATACACTACAACCTAGTAATAGTATTTGTAGAAGAGCAGTTGTCCCTACACCATATCCACATTTCACCAACCTCAGGTGGTTTGATGATTGCACTTGCTTGTGGGGGCGGATCTTTGATTGTTGGTCTCCAGTATTGCCATCTCAATCAACAGGTTCGTTGCATTATGCTTATACATGTTTGTGATGTATTGCTACTCTTTCACACTTGTTCACGAACATGTGTTGAATGTACAGTGGGCTTCGTACAAAGGATTGTAGGTATTTGCATTCGTTGAACATCAAATCTCCTCGGCTTGTAGAAGACAGGCGCATCTATTTTCCCCCGCCTCATGATAGGATGTATAGGCATCTTAATATTTGTAGTAGGCTCCTCGCATTCTCCTTGTCGTGTGCACAGTGAGTTTTGAAGGTTCCTTGCATTTATTTGACATTGAATTGTTGTTACTTGTGTGCTTGTCGCTTAATAGTTCTTTGCATTTCAATCACCGTGACTCTACTTTGATATTCGTTGAGGATTTCGTGCTATAGCTTATAAACATAAACTATTGTTAATTTCTCTTTACAAGCAGGTTGTACTTGGAATTCTTTACTCAGAACAAGTTCAATTTTGAGAATTTGAGTTCAAGTCAAATTCGTAGTTCTTCGTGTTTATCCTTTCGAATTCAGGTCCGAGCTCAAGTTAATGCCGCTTGGTCCAAATCTAGTCCAAGTATTCAAGTTCACATGCCCCTTGTGTTACAAATTGTTCAAGCCAATAATGTTCGAGTTCACAGTACAGGTTCAAATGATCTTGTTTAATTCATCTCATTTTTGGATTGAGTTTGAGTTTGAGTTTACTTGAGTTCGAGGCAAGTCCTTATTATCACTTTCATTCCAAGTTTTTAATGCATTTCGTTCAAATTGGATTCAATTCATTTAAGCTCATTTTCAAAGGTCCCCTGCTCGTGTTCAATCAAGTTCAAAAGTCCACAATTCATTGTTTATTGGAGTCTGGATCCTTGCATGTCTTTTCGAGTTCAAAACAGATCTCGAGTGTATCAATATTTCACCCGAAATTTCAGCAGCCTCCCGGAATCTCCCCCGTTCAGGGGAAAACTACGAGAAACTAGACCTTCCCACCACGTGCAATAAAGGCATATATGGCAGGATACCGTGGCCGTGCTCTTTCCTCCCACCATGCGTAATAAAGGTGTGTATGGGGTCTTCGATACCTGTTTAAAAGATACAGTTTGCTTTCCCCCGTTCGGGGGTACTTATGAATGACCCCGTCTCATCGTATGTGCCGCACCGGGGTTCCACCTTACCACGCGCAATAAAGGCGTGTATAGATGGTTTTTTGGTGCGCCACGAACGTCGAAATAGAGTTTAGGTGATTGCTCGCCTCGTCATAGGCGTCGGACCGGGGTCCCATCCCAACACACGCAAAAAAGGTGTGTATAGGCGATTTTCCGGTCCGCTGCAAACAACGAAAGCGAGAATCTAA